AAAAAAATGTTGAATATCCAAAATAAGTGATGAATTCAAAAAAACGAGCAAGAAAACCACGTCAGTTTCCGTTTGAAACAGTTAATCTCGAAAACGGTTCAAAATAGAAATAGTATTATCTGAACAAAGTTAATGTGAAATTGGATGTAGAGCTCGAAATCCGTTCGAAAAGAAATTTTTCTATGAAGATAGGCATTCTTTCTGGCAGGAATAATTTTATGGAATATATTGGCGGCATGAAAGATTCTTCTGTTATTCATATTTCACTCAAAGGCATCTTTGAGCTTATAAGAGATTCTCTGAGAACGTCTTATTCCATAAATTAGGCTCTAGCACGAGTTTTGTACTTTTTAAATTTTACGTTAATACTGCTTACTCAAATGTGGTCCATAGACAGTATTAGCATAGTTAAAATGTGATAAAACTAGTGTTTCACATAATACTAATTTAAATTTTTTGGTCCAAATAATAGAACATTTGGTTTTTGAGAAATCAGCAGTACACAGAAATCTGCCCAGAAATCGCGTTTGAACAAAATTTGGTTAGTTGACTTAGATGATTTGTGTATTTTTTTCTCAAACGCATTAACATTTCTAAGAGATTTTAGTATTTTTCCCCAATATTTTTTTCATTTTATAGACGATCTTCGATTAAAATGGATTGAATTTCCTGGAATTCAAAGCTTAATTGAGTTAGCTGTTATATAATGCCAGGTGATGAAAATCTAAGACATTTGATATATTCAAAAAGGATAAGTATTGGTTTCTTCGACTGACGTATTCGATGCCCTGAATCAATCATTCTTTTTTCGAAAAATATCTTTGCATCATTCCATTTTTCATGTGTGACAAGAGACAATGGGGTTGTGTAGACTCGTTGAAGAAGTCATCATTTGATGAAAAGTTCAAATTCAGTTCGAAAATAGAAAAACAGGCGATTCACTCACATAAAAAAAGCATTGTATTTTTGAACATACTTTCAAGTAAATGATTGGCAGATACTCCATTTACTGAAAAAAAAAAATTAAACGGATGTAGCCTAAAGGATTATGCACATAATAAGCAAGGTACTCGCTTTTCAATTAATGGTAATTTTTGAGATATTTTCAAAAAAAACTAAAATTGCTGGATTTCGTTTTTTGGCACTAAATACGTTATTTAAAATTAAGGCAGTCCAACATTTTGTATTGTTTAATGGTTGCCTCTCTGCGAAAGAGCTTATAGATGTGATGTGACTGAAAACGGCTTCCTTTTATGTAATTGGATCAATTTAGATTGTCCTGGTGATGTCTGTTTTCAATTATATTTGATGATCTACTGTGATATTCACAATATAGTGAATATTTGGAGGAAAATAACTAGCAGTTTTTCCTTTCGTTTTTTTTTTATGAATCATCACAGACACAAATAATGATTTATTCAAAATCTAAATCATATAGCGTCATATAGAATTTCTGTAACACCTGTCAATATTTGTTATATTGGCAACCAACCAGTCAGTAAGTTTGCAATTTGAAAATTGTGGCTAATTTTTTTTCAAAATAAGTGTTCCCACATAATAGTTTTGGTACTTTTGAAACTTCAAGAATGAATGAAACAATTATACTCAAAGTAGGTATGTCCCTTTAATTGTTAAATCAATTTCGTTGAGGGTATCGCATGTTTTTCATATTGGTCAAAATTTGGTCAAAAATATATTTTTTCATCAACTGATCATTTTAATTTTTTCATAACTTTCATTACTCCTAGGTCTTGCATGCTCTTTCAACATACTTTCTATTAGAATAAATTTCCTACTCCTATCAGCACCTTTCCTAATAA